AAGGGGGAGGGAGAGAGGGAGAGAGAGAAACATCGATTTTTTTGTTCTACTTATTTATGCATTCATTGGTTGCTTCTTGTATGTGCCCTGATCAAGAATCAAACCCTCAACCTTGGGGTATCAGCAGCATACTCTAACCAACTTAGCTCCCTGGCCAGGACCTCGTTTCATTTTAACAAGCTCCATAGGTAATTCTGTTTCTCATTTAGATGGAACAGCTAATGCAGACTCCTTGGGGCTAATGGAGGACAGTGTGGCTGGAGCGGAGTGGCTGAGGGGCAGGGTAGTAGAAGTAAAGGTCTGTCATTTACCTTTTAATTTGGTCATTCATGTTTTATTTTTGTACAGACAGAAAGATTCTTTTTTTTTTCCAAAAAGATTCTTTATGGGGGAAGAGGGTAATGTTTTCCATTGCTCTTAAGCTTAGAACAGTGGTTCTCAACCTTCCTAATGCCGCGACCCTTTAATATAGTTCCTCATGTTGTGGTGACCCCCAATTTCATTGTTACAAATTGAACATAATTAAAGCATAGTGATTAATCACAAAAACAATATGTAGTTATATATGTGTTTTCCGATGGTCTTAGGCGAGCCCTGAGAAAGGGCCGTTTGACCCCCAAAGGGGTCGCCACCCACAGGTTGAGAACCGCTGGCTTAGAAGGTAAATATTCACCTATATTTTTCACATAGCCTTTTTGGCTGGAATTTTTACTTTTTTATGTGTTAATCTCTCTGGAATTGATATTGGTATATGATGTGGTATAAAGATAAGTTTTACTTTTTTCCACAAAGTCCTAATTAAGTATTAAGACATAACTTATTGAATAATCCCACCCTTCCCTTATTGGATTTATGATCCTTCTTTATTGTACAATAAATTCTATGGTACAGGGTCTGTTTGAAACATCTAGAGTACCTGAGTGATTTTAACTATCTGATTATGTTGGATGGTTGGGTCAACTTACACACTTCTGTGCCTTATAAGATATCCACCCTATATAATAAAAGCCTAATATGCTAAGTGTCCGTCATTAATGATATGCTAAGGTTGCTCAACTGCTCATTATGACGTGCACTGACCACCAGGGGGCAGACAACCGACCAGTCGACCAGTCACTATGACATACACTGACCACCAGGGGGCAGGAACTCTGACCGGTACGTTAGCTTGCTGCTGGGGTCTGCAGATCGGGACTGAGCAAGACAGGCCGAACATGCCCTGGAGCCCTCCCACGGTCCCTCCCGAGTTGGCCAACCTCCCGCATCCCTCCCCGGCCCCAATCATGCACTGATGGGATCCCTCAGCCTGGCCTACACCCTTTCGCAATCCGGGACTCTTTGGGGGATGTCATAGAGCTGGTTTTGGCCCGATCCGCAGGCCAGGCCAATGGACCCCACTGGTGCATGAATTCGTGCACCGGGCCTCTAATATATATAACCTGGGAAGGCTCCTCTTTGCTCCATTTTACTGGATCCTGATATCGCAGGGTAAGAAAAGATTTCAAAATGTCAGTGGACAAGGGCACTCCCTATTTCTGTCCAGGCCTTGCTCTCTTACCTCTAGACTTGGAAGAGGTGTATGAGTGTAACCTAAGACGGCAGCACTATCCAGGCAAGCTAGAGATTAGGTGAGGCGGGGGGGGGGGGGGGGGGTCTCCACTGATGGAAAATAATATTAAAAATCCCATGCTATCACTTGAATGACCTAGTTTCATGTTTTCTGCGTACATTCTTCTTATCTCATAGTCTTTTTAGAAGCCATTTCAAATGTTCCAGCTTTATGAATTTAAAGCTGTAGAAGCTCTCCAGGAACTATGAAGGGAAAGGTCATGAGTCCACAATGGCAAATGGTTAAAGGGACACAGCCTCCCAGCCCCACCCCATCCTAAAGCTTGGAGGTAACAGCAGATGCCCAGGGGAGACATCAGGAATGCCAGGGGTCAAAAGTGAAAGCTGTGTGGTCCTGTCCCTTTTCCCCGTAGGAGAGCTTCTTTCTACCACCAGTCTCGGGAGATGTTATGGTCACTAAGGGATGTGGTCATTTCCTCACACTGACGCAAGGTTCAGCCACTATCACAATATCTAACCTTTTAGAGCCGTGTTTTTCTTTGTTTACTTGTCTCCAGCACTGTTTCAAAAAGAATGCAATGCTGTTTACAGAACCACATAAATGAAGTTAGATGGCATCAATTCCTGGTAGAAAACCCCACGAGAACGGGGAGGCAGAAGTGAAACAGGGCAGGGACAGGGAAGCGTGCTGAGTGGGACCGCGTGCTGTAAAGTTCCAAAGGCGCACTGGGCTTGGCCTGCTGGGCTTTCCAAAACTTGCTGAAGCTGTCAAGCCAGTGTTGTGTTTTCATTCCCCAGAATCCAATCATTGTTGGGGACAAAGCCCAGTGGAACAATCAAATCCAGATTCACAGGCTAGAAGGAGACCTCTAACCTAGTTCAATGCCCTAACCCACGTGGCAAGCACCACAGCTCACCAACTGGTCTTCATGTATGCTTTTCCAGAACCTGAGCTCACAGGATAAAAGCCCGCAATTTAGAGATATATTGAAGGAGATGTTTTCCAAGTGTTTGGGTCTGTTTTGCTGTGGGGCCCTAGACTCCTATGAGCAGTTTTCTAAGGAAGGGGGGATCCTAGGAGCAGTAGGAGCAGGCAAAGCCACTGCAGCCCCCCCACC